CCCAGTGAAGATTAAGTTACAGGTGACTTCCGAGGACTGTTAATAGACTAACATTTTATAAATATTCTTATTGTATAATTGTCCAATAATTATCATGTTAAGTCTAATGGTGTCCTTGGACTTTAAATGGACATTTCCTATTGGCCAATATTTATTTCGCTTGTCAAATATTGTACAAATGTTGTTTTCTATTTTATGGTACGATGTGGTTTGTTTGATTAGTATATAAACCGAGTATGTCTGAAATAAATGATCTGATTCGATTCATATTACGGAAGCTGGTGTTGTGTTCTGGACTCAAGTGGAAAGGCTAGGGGGACATAGGACCAATCAGGACGCTAAACTGCACATACCGGTTGAACGTCATTGGTTTGACATAGTGCGAAATTGTATAAGTCGTATTCTGACTGGTCAGTAAGTCGCGTGATAGAAAGCCAGACATCAAGGTCATAGTACTCTGAGTTTTTTTTTGTAACTTTGACAACGAAAGGTTGTACACTTTTCAGAAACGCAGCAGAACAGGTTATGCGATTAATAAACATATTATATTAGAACAAAAAATAGATAACTTGTCGAAATATCTAGATGGCAGGAACAGGTAGCCCAAATGCTCAAGCAGGCCGCAGTTGTTGATTCAAATCCTACCTTTAAATATCGAGCATGAAGTGAACTATACAACATTGTCAAATCATAACACCTAGTTGCTATATTATTAGATAGTACACAACATGAAATCCAATCATACATTTATCCAACTATAATATTGCTCAAACTAGTAAACATATCATAAATACCAGTAATAAAATTTGATTAAAGATATGGATTCTATAGTATTCCACTGAAAATTAATTGAGCTAAAATTAATCATTTTGGAAAACTGATTTTGTTTTATATTTCAAAATGTTATATCTAAAGTAAAAGAAACTAGAACCATCAATTTGATTATTTAAAAATAATTAAGAATTCGATGTGAAACTTGATATATGAAAGAACATTTGAACTGTTCTCATTTCCATTAATTAAATAATTGTTTCGTCCCAGTCCGAGATTCTCCATATGTACATGTTAAAAACCTTATCAAGAAATGAACCTTAAACCTTCAGATTTTGATAGTAGTATTTTGACTGATTATCAGTTTATGAAAAATTCCTTTCTATAAATTAAATACACCTTTACAAAACCTTTAATTCATACAAAAGATTATCTGAATAAATTGAAACAAATACAAATCACGATCTAGAAAAAAGTGAATAAAGTATAGAATTCCTATTGAAACATGTAAGAAGAAAAGGGTCTTATGAAAAGAAATACTAATTCCCTTTTTTTGTCTTATAATAATCATCAGCTCTCTATTTACATCATACATCATTTATGATTGATAACAAAATGAATAGCAACTAAATAAGATGGGTTAAGTCAGAATGACTAAAAATGGTGAATTATTTCTAAAATTATAATAAATGATCAAAGTAGTATATCAAAGACCAAAATAAATAAATCGATTATTTTATTTTCAAAGTATTATTTCATACGCATAGTTGGCAACATGGATTGATCTAAGATAATAGGTTCATGATCTCAATCGACAAAAAAACTTAACAATCTCCATAACCACTATACTGATAATTACCATGTGCTCACTAGTGACTAGATTCATGAGAAAATTCTCGGAGTTCTGTTGAGAGGCCGTGACCAGTGGAGCTAACCCATGTCGGGTAGAAACAAGTGTCTACCTCAGTACAATGGGAGATAGTCGCATAATTTCATGGATTGGTTGAAATTAGACATTAACGCCATTGACTGTCGTCTCAGTGGTTCAGTAGGTTAAGCGTTTGCGCGCGAGACTGAAGGCTCTGGGTTCGAATCTCGCGAGCAGGATCGTGGATGCGCACTGCTGAGGAGTCCCACCATAGGACGAGACGGCCGTCCAGTGCTTCCAGGTTTTCAATGGTGTTCTAGCATCAATCGGTTCATGGTCTCAACCAAAATTAAAACTTAACAATCGCCACAACCTTTAAACTGATAGTAAAATGAAAAGTTGAGCGAAGGAGGATTTCTGTCAAATAACTTTTTTATCAAGGCTCTACACTAATATATTCAAATGAGGTTTTCTATATATTACAGTAATTTTTATTAGTTGAACTCACGAGTCGATTATAGCTAGACCACCATTTAAAACCTGGAAACATTGAACAGCTGTTTCTTCCTAATATGGGACGCGAACCCAGAACCTTCGGTCCCGTGGGCAAACGCTTAACCTCTAGACCACTGATTCGGCACCCAACGGTGTTAATGTCTAACTTCAACCATTCCACGATATTGCATCTTTATTGAGTAACTGCCTCTACAACAGACACGGTTGGGATGGTGGCTGCCCACTACTGATGAATCCCATACTGGGACGAAACGATCGTCTAGTGCTTTCGGGTTTTCCATGTTAGTCCAGCTTACATTGACTCATGAACCCAATTATTAAAAAACTAGACTATATGTTTTATATGTGAGTAGAAAATCCGTACAAATTAGATGATAGTAAGTTGGTTTAAGAAAATAATCATCAGTTAGTTTAAAACGTTTGTAAAATTAAATTTTAAATTAGGAATAAAGAGAATTTTCGTAATCCCGTTAATTATTACAAATAGTTACATAATTAAAGTTGAATGTGAATCCGACTGTAAATATAAATGTTTCTTGTTATTTGTCAAAATTGATAATAAGTAATTAATGGGACGGGTGTGGTGAAATTTATATATGATGAAAAAACAGGTTACGTAAGACTAGAATTAGAAATTTAAATGGTAATGGAACCGAAGTCTGTATCTTTTTTAAGAAAAGAGAAAGAAAGGTCTTGAAACATCTAATTGTATCTAAACAGAAGGCGGTCTGTGGTTCGTCACAAGGGGTAACAGGCGTAAGTAAGCAAGTAAGTAAACAGGAGGTCAGGGTAGATTCAAAGATTGTATAAACTTTATCTCTATACAAGGTTAAGTTTTTTATGTATATATATGAGAGTCAGACTCTTAGAACCAAAGAGTAAATTCAGAGAGGTTAAACACTGAAGTTTTATCTATGTGGTGACTGGTAATGACTAGATGCTCCAAGATAGAACTCATTACTTTCTTTTATCTTTTGGTCAACCATAAATAATGATGTCAACAAATATGATGATCTTATTTAGAACACAAATGAAAACTAGAAAGAACTGAACAGTATTTTTGGTTCTGGCACATCATTTATCCAGACGTTGAGTATTCGTGCATGCTCGAAGGTCCTAGGTTCAAACTCAAACAATATCCTGAATGTCGAAGGGTCTCATAATATAACGAAACAGCTGCCAAGTAATTGCTGATTTTCGGCAGTGGTCTAACAAACCTCAGTCTATGATTTAAATTATGAAAATTCAATTCCTATATCACTTGATGATTGAGAAAAGATTTCTAACAAAGCACGGCTTCGATTAGCATACTTTTAGTAACAATAAGTGAATCAATATATATGATTTACTTTGTACGTGTATTGATTAACTCTAATTAATATTATCAGTATTCTTTAATATTATCAAGTGATAAAAAGATCTCAGGTTTTCATGTCAGAACCAGGCAATAAAAGGTTACTCAATAGGATATTTAAAAAATTAACTGAACCACTGTGAACCACTAATTTACTTATTTGATTGATCAAAGCTAATTATAAGTAAACCAGGATGTATGTATAAGTAGTATTTTAAAAAATATTTGAATTTCAAGACAGACATTAATAAAGACAGTTCACTTCTTAAAGGTAGTTTACATCATTGAATTACTTAGGCTAGACAAATTTATAATAAGGACACATTGATGTCAACTTCATAGTCTACAGGTAATACAGTTAATTTCGGGATGTGATGATCCTACGTTCGATTCCCGGTACGATTTTAACTGTCCAAAACTCAAGTGTTTTAAACTAGGACAAACAGCTCTCTCATATTCTTTGGTTTCTAAAGGTCTAAGGCTTAACTAAAGAAGGTCTATGAAGTGAATTATTTTCTTCTCAAAAAATGAATGTTAATACTTAAATAATGTTATTTGACCATAAACAGCCCAGAACCATGTTACAGGTTATCTTCTTTTTTAATAGCACTGAGATGAAAATATTTAAAAACTATTTACTATTGAATATCATCAAACTACAATCCTTTTTTCTCTCGCCAAATTTACTTCACTCGATTATGCTCCTTGAATAACGTCTTCAAACTTTAATTTTTCCGATTACTGCTTATACTTTCACTATCTCTATCACTATGGGATTTGAATCGACAATTGTATATCTGTGCTAATGTGGTATGGCAACTCGAACTGATGTATAACGTTCTAAGTTGTTACTGACTGACTGACAGTTCTTTCCACTGCTTATAGTATGACTAATTAACAGGGATTTATCATTTTTAGGAATAAGCAAGTAATTAGTAGAATTCGAAAAGAATAAAAAATACAAGCAAGTAGATGGGAGTTGTAAAATTTGTATCGTAGTGAGTGAGAACACAGGTAGGGACAACCAAATGTATTTGGATACAAAATTATAGAGTTATTTAATAAAATATAAATACAATACGTTCAATACTTCATTTGCAAAATGTCCATCAATTGTTATTCCTTTATTTCCATACCAACCACTATCTACTCCCGTTCTTTTCTAAACGATCTTGTCAACCTTCTGTTGCCAGGCGGTCCACTTTCAATTGGTGTTACAAACTACTTATATATCTGTCGACATAAGTATCACAAACCACAATATCTTGTTTGGTCAATCGACTATTATGAATGAATCAAATTAATCATACATTATCCTCATTAAAATGTAGAAAACTTTGGTTTTTTAATGTAATGATCAAAAAGTCTACTACTCAATTATGAAATATAATATTTTCAATAACTTATCATATAACGATTAATCTATGTATCATTTGCATACAATAGGAAATACTTAGTATTTATTTTTATAAAAGATGTTTATTAACTTACGTAACACGTTTATCTTCATTCATTTCTACAAGACGTGCTCTAGCTAATACTTGTTGTATACATTCCTTTTCATCATCAGTTAATTCCATTTGTACAGTTTTAAGTAAAGCTATTTCAGTGGTTGATGTATCTGTAGTTAACTTTGAATTTGTTTTATCTTGATTAGAATCATTTATTCCAACGATTTCATGTAAAGAAATTTGTGATTGACTTTTACATGAATTCGATAATAAAGTAATTCCTGTATCAGATAAAGTTAAATCACGTTGTAATGATTGACTACGTTTATGACTAACATCATTTCTGTGATTGTCCTCTTCTTGTCCAGAGGTTTGACTAGTTTCATTTCCCATTTTATTTCATTTTTTTTATATCCCCATAAAAATAACCATTAAAATAATGATAATCATCCATATAGTTGATCATGTTTACTTTGTACAATTACATAGAAATTATTAAAAAATAATCAATATATTTGAGCATCATCTAGAACAACCAACTGGTAATGAATATAAAATAAGAAGAATATTTTGTTATTTTCACGTGTGAAAACAAAAAGCACATTCAAGATCTAGTCTACTACTACCACTACTAATAATAATTATACTACTACGACATAGGTTGCATGCTTCTTTATTTCACAAAAATTGATAGGTTAAATGATTAGTATTGATAGACTAAACATATTATCCAATCATATGAATGACCTTGGAATTTTCCCATTTTACTGGATATATATTGAGTCTTATTGACTGAATTGCTTATTATCGATTGATCTGGTCAAATTATATATAATGAAAATAAATGTAAACATATAGTTAGTTAGTCAGTTAGTTAGTTGGTTATTAGGGGAAAATTATTAGATTGTTTAAAGTTATCCTAATATAATAATAATAATAATAATAATAATAATAATAATAATAATAATAATAATAATAATTAACAAAATAACGTAAAGGATTTGATTTGTGAAGAAAACATGGTTGCCATTTGAAAGCTCTGGTTTTATATGGTTTATAGTTTGTTTTTCATACTCACTAGGTAGAATGAAAGATAAGCATTGTGTGTGTGTGTGAGTTTGTTTGTTTGTTGGAAATTTATTCACATCATAAAATATTGAATGAAATATTAGAAACAATATAAGAAAAGTAATGTTGAACATTGAATGAAATTATTCTTTACAGGTATTCTAGTGTCTGTTGCTACGTATGGAGGAACAGAAGAGGTCAACTATCAGCATTCTACATTCAAATCTGTCCTCCACAATCATTTCAAGTTATTTACACTTGCTATTCGTCCGTCGAATATCTGCATCAAATTCTCCATTCAGTATCTTCTTCCGCCTGCCACTTTTACGTTCAACTTCACAATTACAATTTAACACTTGCTTCGTGATGTAGTTTCATCATTTCCTCAATGTATATCCTATCCACTTACAATGTCGTTTCCTAATTTCCTTCTCAGATGAAAGCTGGTTTCTTCTCTATCAAAGTAGTTTGTTGTTGTTGTTGTTGTTGTTGTTGTTGATGATGATGATGATGATGGAATCCGGTTGACGGATATTGAGTATCATGTGTAGACAATTGTTTATAAATACTTGTAGTATTTTGATGATGGTTGTGGTAGTTGTTGAAGTTCCATCTCCATACAGTACGACTATCTTGACGTTCGTAATGAAGATTGTGACTTTGATGTTGACTTGCAGACAGCCGTTTTGAGTTTCGTATGTTGTTCAAGTGTAGGAATGTTATCCTTGCTTTGTCAATCCTCGGCTTTATATTTGTATCAGATCCACCATTTTCATTGACGAAGCTACCCAAATATGTGGATGTTTCCACCTCTTCCAGAGTTTCATCATTAAGTGTGATTGAGCTGTCGTTCTCTGTATTTCATTCGAGGATCGTGCTTTTCCCCTTTTGTATCTTGAGGTCTACTTACGCAGGAACATCTGCTACGCTGTTTATTTTTCAGCTATTAGTTGCATGATTTAAGTATTGATTATTAGATGCTAGTATTAACCTACACGATTGCATAGATTGTAAGCATCTTTGTTAAAAAAAATACATACCTTACGAAAACACTAATGATATTTAAATTGCGACTATTGGATATTTGGGTGAAATTGAAGACGATATGACAGATAGATTGTATCTTATTAAGAAGCTATATTGGACATACGCATAATTAATTACTAGGACGCCTAAAATTAATAATACGAGAAGACTAAAACATAGGGACCATATTTTGCTATCTTTCTAAAGTAACTTAAAGTTGTTGATATTTACAATCAAGGACTAAATGGATAAGTATTCATCTACATAGCTACAAAACAATCTTTATTCTATTCATAACCAGTAGTCCTAACTTCTGACCAGTGCCACTTATCCTAACCATTAATCCTAATTAAAATCGCTAACCATAAATCTGAATGTTTTTTTAGATTTGGCGATGTAAATTATTCATTTGTATTACCTGTATTAGAATTGACTAAAAAATTAACTTTTCTTTCTCGTAGTCATTTTAATTATTCCTGAATCTTGTCAGCGTTCTATACTTTCACCATATTTCGCAAATTTATACAAGTAATAACAAATAAATAAAAATATCTTCATATGTTGCTTACTTACTTACGCCTGTTACTCCCAATGGAGCATAGGGCGCCGGCCAGCATTCTCCAGCCCAATCTATCCTGGGCCTTCCTTTCTAGTTCTATCCCATTGTTGTTTATTCTTTCCATGTCTGTCTCCATTTCGCAGCGTAATTTACTCTTTTGACTCCCTCTTCTCCTTTAGCCTTCAGGATTCCATGTGAGGGTTTCCCTTGTATGTATTTATGTCCTATCCCCTCTCAGCGCTTTCTCCCAATCTCTTCCTCTGCTGGGATCTGGTTCGTTCTCTCTCACAGTAGTTTGTTGCTGATATTGTCTGACCAATGGATGCGAAGTATCTTGCATAAACAGCTGTTAATAAACACTTGTATCTTTTGGATGGTGGCTTTCGTCGTTCTCTAAGTTTCCGCCCTAAACAATAGAACTGTTTTGACATTTGTATTGAAAATCCTGACCTTGATGTTGGTTGACAGAGAGTTGTTTTGAGTTCCAGATGTTATTCAGTTGTAAATATGCTGCTCTTCTTTTGCCTATTTGCGCCTTCACACCTGCATCAGATCCACCATGTTCATCATTGATGCTGCCCAAATATGTAAAAGTTTTTACATCTTCCAAATCTTCTCCGTCAATTGTGATTGGATTGGTGCATGCTGTGTTGTATCGGAGAATCTTTCTTTTCTCTTTGTTTATGTTCAGACATACTACTACTGAGTCTGCTGCTACACTGCTCGTCTTCTCCTGCATTTGCTGTTGCATGTGTGGTAGAAGAGCCAGATCATCTGCGAAGTCTAGATCGTCAAACTGCATCCTAGATGTCCATTGTATCCCGTGCTTCCCTTCAGATGTTGACGTCGTCATGGTCCAGTCGATCACCAGGAGAAAGAGAAAGGGTGAGAGTTAGCAACCTTGCCTAACACCGGTTTTCATTTCGAACAACTTTGATGTAGAGTGATGAATTACATTCAATTGATTGCTCCACAATTATCTGTAGAGTTGCGATTTGGTCTGTACACGACCTATCCTTACGGAATCCTGCCTGTTGGTCACGAAGTTGGGCGTCTACGCAGTCCTTCATCCTGTTTAACAATACCCTGTTGAAGACTTTTCCTGGTATTGAGAGAAGAGTGATTCCCTTGTAGTTATCACACTTGCTGAGATCGCCTTTCTTCGGTATTTTGATCAGAAGTCCTTCTTTCCAGTCTGTTGGTACTTGTTCTTCATCCCATATATTGCTGAAGAGAATGTGGAGTACCTGTGCAGTTACTGCTACGTTCGCTTCCAGTGCCTCAACTGGAATTTTATCTGGTCCTGCTGCTTTGCCACTCTTGATTTGTCTAATGGCCATTTGTTAATAACAATCAAATATTATTAAGTGAAGTTCATATTGTTTCTAGTTAAATGTAACCATTTGTTTTTATTCAATTCTGACACGAGTTCTTTTTTTCTTAAACCCACTTCTTTCTTTTAAGCAATTAGAAAATTTATTGAAATTGAAATATATAACATCTTCATACAATGAGAATGTATCACTAAAGTACATGGACATACACTTGATAATTTTGCTATACATAAGGAAGATTAATAATATCACTAAAACCAGTCCTTCATGATCACAAGATAAAAGAGAAATAACGAAATAAACAGGATGTTTCACTTTGAAAATCGCTTCGTAAGAAAGAATTCACAAAGTGTTGTCTTTTTTGCAGAACTAACAATCAAAAAATAAATATGAGCGAACGATGAAACTGAACGTCTTTGAATACATTTCAATAGATTTATCTCTTTTTCTTTTTATCTAAAACGGTAGACAAAGAAGAGAATGTACCAACAGGTTCGATATTCCAGTTTGAAATTGCTAGTATTTGGCATAGTGAGAAGTTATAAACCTTTTATAATACTGAGTAATGACACACAATTAGGATTCAGAGTTACCTGGTTCAAATAAATATAAAACAGGGAGGTTTGATACAATATTTGCATAGTAGGAAAATATGTATAAATCAAGCCGCCCTAATCATATTACATTTAAAACCTAGATATGTTAGTATAGGATTCTGAAAATCATTGAATGTTATCGAGATCACAAATCGACTTAAGTTAAACAACCGTTGAAAACCTTAAAGCATTAATTCATCTTGATACTGGGATCCTAAATAAAGTGTGCATCCACCATTACACAACCGTATATCGAATCTATGAACTTCGCTTCTTTCAACGAACGCCTAATCTTTAAATCACTAGGTCAGGATCCAATAGTGTATATGTCCAACTTTAATTAACTCGTAATATTACGTGTTCAACTTCCGTTATCTCTGAAAGGTATTTCACCTCATCCGACACAGTAGAGCACCATTGGTCGTGGCTTCTTACTAAAACTCCTAAGATTTCCGCTCGACGCTATTCCTTAACATCAAATAACAACAATCAATACGAGGTTTACAAAGAGTGTTGAATATGAAAGAACCGAGAATAATATGATATTTTACCAACTAAACCGAATCAAGGATGTGTTTATACTCGACAAATCACTTACACCAGTGGGTTGGTATCGAACTGTCTTCATTCTAAACTTGGCTAGGGTTTCATGCCAGAAATCCAGAATTTCTTCTTAATATTAGCTATTGGTGTTATTAGCACATAGGATTTTCAGAGAATATTCCTTCGATAGACGACTAATAAAAATCATGAGACTTTGGTTTGATCATTGATTTCTACTGCTGAAAGGTTTTAAACTCCAAATAAGTGCACCATAGTTCTCAATGATTACCTGGATAAATTTGATTCAACAAACATACTAAAAATAATTGATCCCCAATAAACTTTTAAACGAATAGTTTAAAGTTGATGTCGTCGATTATATTTGTTATAAACCCAAAGATTTTTGATGTCCAAATATCTATTAATGAAACATCATATTTATCACCAAAAGTGATTGTTGAAAATGACACATTAAATTTCCATCTTAATGAAGAACTGTACAGTTTTCATTTTA